CACGAATGATCTAAATTGAGTGGATGGGGGCGTGAAAAAGCCTAAATAAAAGAGAAAAAACGAACATAATGAGTGTTAGGGCCATATATAGTTTGTAATATTAACTTTGCATTTTCGGCCTTTTTTTCAGCTACAAACATTGAAACCATGAGGTCTATGAACAGAATTGTGTACCGGATTTCTCTTCCTGTCGCCTTTATAATACTTCTGGGAACTTTATTCTATGTCCATTCAGGTAAGAAAAGGGCAATAAGTAACGAAAAGAATATTGGAATGATCGCAATCTGCGTCATACGTCGTGTTTAGTAACACCAATTTGGTTTACAGACTGGCAATATACAGAAAAGAAAGACAGAAGGACCCTTTCAAAATTTCTATAATGAACTTAGGTTTCCAAGCCTGGTGTTACATGTTATTCTTCGTTCAAGCACACATTTATGATGCATCGTGCTGGAATCAGGCGCTCGTCAAAATAATGAAATCAAAGAAATTGGCATTTTTTTCTGGCCTTTGAGCAATAGCTTTTTCTGGTAATTTTTTTGTTTTGCTCAACACTTTTTATATATCCATTTAAAAGCACATTTCTGTGAGAATTGTACTGAAAAAACATAGATTAAAAGCACCAAAAAATGTACATTTTCAGTTTCCAAGGACTCTCAAGATATGGAATTTACCAAGCTTTTGTGGCCATTTCTCACTAATTTTACCTCTAAAGCCGGGCAATACTTTTTTCACCCAAAGCAAGGCAAATGAACAGGCTTTAAGATGATATCAATAACCCCATGTGCCCAAAAATTGATGAGCGTCTGATTCAAACACGTCCTGACACATTTAACACTGCCATGTTTTATGTCCAGTAAGTAAAATAACTACATCTGTACCTATAATAATGCTCATTGAAATATTATTTAAGCCCCTGAAGACCTCAAAGGGAAAAAACGTACGAATCGCATGATGATAATTACTGCCTTTCTTTCACGTCTTCCTATGACGTCACTACAACCGTTTCTGATGAAAATGGCATGTCGCCCAAAATGGAGCTACCCAAGCAATAGATCAAAATAACAAAAGCAAAAATTGAAAACGGTGACTAATGCTCTTTTTTTTCTCGTTTACTCTTCCCAAAATTATACCATTGGAAACATGCCAGTATTTCGACATCTTTATCAAGATGGGAAAACTAAATCTCAGAAGGCCTTTTAATTCAGCTGATAGAAATGTGAATACATGTGCTATTTCTCAAAATAACGATGGTTCTCTTTTGTTCTTTCCACACAGGCGCCCAGAGGTACATAATGGATATTCCTTCAGACACGAAAAGGGTATTACGTAGTTCAGTTTGTACGGTTACATTTGTGGCGTTTTCCTTGTTGTGAGCTGTGAATTAGTTGTTGTCGCTGGCGGTGGGTTTTTTTTTCATTCTTCTCTCTATTGTACATGTTTCATGCTATACCCCTACCTTGAATTAGAAGCTAGGCTGTACATCCTTAAACCAATGGCTGCTGTCAACGCTTCGTACCTACGACACAAACCCCTTCATTACTTTATTATCCCACCAAAAAACACCTCCCGAGTTAAAGAGCCTTTAAAACAGAGTGAGCCCTCCCTTGCTATTGTAAGGAGGGATGCTAAGAGAAATCTTTCTTACTCACTATCAACTGGAAGTCCGAATTTCCCATAGAGAGGATGCGCATGATGTATATTCGGCAAACTGTCCAAAGTGGTCTCAGCAGAAGATAATCGTGCGCAAAGTAAGCTGGCGCAGGTGGTTGGCGGGTGCTCTAGTGTGGTTTAATTGCTCTTTTTTCCCTTTATAACTCCTATGTCCTGATCTCTCCTCCTCCTTTTTGCGTTTGTTACTCTCTTGTAACATCTCTAATCTGCAGCACGTATTTGGCCCCTTTGTGTTGCAAGTGCTGTAAGACTCCTACTAAAACTAAACTAACCAAGAAGTACACTGGCGCCTGCGACCAGTCTACGCCTATGGCAGCCATCTTCTCACCACGTGACAGGAAGATGCTCCTTCTTTTCTTTCGCCGTACTTCTAAGTCTAGCTTGCCTTTCCCCTGCACTAAATGACCGGTATGTGCCAATGTGCTTCTTTTGACTAAAGCTGAACTAGCATCCTCATGTACGTCTTGATCTTCACCTTCATGTTCAACCTCGTCTTCATCCTTATCCTCGCCACTATCCTTATCTGCGTTTTCCTCATCGCCTACTTCCTCTTTTTAATCCTCTTCCCCCTCGCTATCCGTTACCTTCAGGGGGCTCTCGTGGCTTAGAGGTTAAGGTGTTGGCCTCTCATTCAAAAGGTCACTGGTTCGAATCCGGGTAGCGACCGAAAAATTTTCCTTCTCTAAATTTGTCTCCTTTCACCTCCGTTCCTGCTCTCTAGCAATGTTCTGTCGTCTGCTTTCGTCTCCACTTTCTGCCCCCATCCCCCTCACCCCCTTTACCCCTTCCTCTGGGCTCCTGAATCTTTCTGCAGCTTTTCTATTGCTACTCCTTCGCTTCTTCTTACTGCTGTCTTTCAGCCACACCCCTGATCTTCTGGTAGGAAAGATTTACACCTAGCCTTCTCGGACAAGGGCAAAAAATCTCGGAGGGCCCGTGTGCAAGTTGCGCACGTTAAAGATCCCTTG